CACATTCCTCGTAGGCGTAAAAACCTACTTGGCAATAAACAAAATTCTGATTCTGATTCTGAGTTAATCACTCACTTATTGAGTAAGATCCATATTAAGATATCTATTTATGTACAGAACATTTTCTATCTATTGCACAAACAGAACAATGCTAGATCTCCGCTTCGCATCTGCAAAATATAACTCAAAGAGGAATAGCCCTTTGAACATCATCTAAATTGAACACAGCATAGACTGGCTCACACACACAACATCACACGCACTGACCTGGTGTGGAGCATTTTTTGTGGTTACGAGTGAAGCGCACTGCAGTGATGCCAAAAGGGCTTTTCTTCACTCCGGTGGTCTTCTTCAGCAGCTCCAGGGCACAGCGTGGGTCATTATATAAACCAACAGGTGGCGACACTTCTTTCACATGGCCAAACCTCTAATAGGGGGAGATAAAAGGGGAATGAGATAGATAAATATTAGAATGGGAGAAGAAAGGGAAAGAGAATTGGAAAAATGCATCTGAAGTCTCTAGCACACATTGAAATAATACAATTGAATGATTAATAGCGCTTTCTGTTGATGAAACTGAGATTAGCACTGTTTTAAAATGACAAATAATCCACTTATTTTCTCATACCAGTGTTCATCTGGACCAAAAAACAAATCCAGCTGTGAATATTTGCTTTATCCACAGGAACAAAAAATTATAGAGCATCTTTTCACAGAGAAAGAGACAACAAATCCAAAGAAACTGCCCACAGCCTACACGTAGACAATACTAAGTCTGTAACCATACTATTAGCCTTGTGGGTGTTTACTGCTCATTACCCCCCAGAAAGCAGAATTGGTGGATAGATGAAATTGGAGCCACAACTTTGATCTGAAGAAAGGCCATGTTTTTACCTCGAGTTTGATGAGTCTAAGCTTTACTTTTCAAGCCTCAGCTGTACCTCTGCCCCATTCAGATCATGTGAGATGATATAATGTTTACCATGTTCACCATTTTAGTTAAGCATGTTAGGATTACTCTCAGTGGTTAGCATTAAATACAGTCCAACAATTTAGAATTTTGCTCAATGAAAGGTTAATGGACCAGTATGTAGGATTTAATGGCATCTAGCAGTGTAGTTGCTGATTGTAATGCCCTCGCATCACCCTCCCCGTCCAAGTATGTAGGGGTGTTTACTGTACAAACTTAGGAGTTCAACATGGGGGACTCTGTGGAAGAGGTTCAGCTCTCTCTGTAGATAAAAATAATTCATTCTGAAGCAACAAAAACCAAAAACACAATGATTCTTATTTTCAGGTGATACTTAAGGTTATATTATCTTACATTATATTATATTATACTATATTCCATTTCTGCCAATAGAACCTCCTAAATGTTACACACTAGACCTTAAAGGGGGGCTTAAATGTCTGTACCAAATTTCATAACAATCCAATGTTTAAAATTTCACTCAACTCAACGACAAGTCAGGGGGTCACCAAAATAGGATTTATTATCTAGGATACAAAATTCAATAGAAATCCATCCTATAGTTGTTGAGATATTTCAGTCAAAAGTACAGAAAGCTCTTAAGATGCAAAAAGAATATTCCATGTGCACATAAGGTGACATGTATGGGGTTGTTGATTATGGCTAAACACATCTGACCATATGTTTTGAAAAGCCAGGACTCAAGAGCAAATCCTTTCACAGTTCTCTGATATTTCAGTCTGGACCAAAGTGGTGGACCATCCATCCATCTGACCTTTAGATATACAGACTGCCATCCATGGAGCCATACCACTTACTCAAAACACACTTAACTCAATTCAGAGAAAGGTGAAAAAAAAAAAAAAAACAGAACAGAAAAGAATAAAAGAGAGCAAAATGCATACAGACAGAACAAAGTGGTGAGATGAGGAGAGAGAAAATGAGATGAATCTCCAACCCAAAAATAATGATGCACACAATCAGGTACATAATGTTCTTTGAGTGTTTTGCTGATATCGGAGCTGATTCAGTGCTGCAACTGCTTGGCAGCTTCACTTCCAGGGTATAAATGTGTTTATCTGATAGCCTATTATAACAACATAGGCAATCAAGGGACTGAAAAAGATAAGTTGCATTTTCAGTCACAATAACTGAAGGTGAACTGCGTTTCAATGTAACTCTAAATTTATCTTCATCCTCTCAGAACTGAACCATTCAGCTGGTTATCAAATACAACAGAGGAATAAAAGAGTGTGATTACTTCAATACCAGCATGTCCACATTAACAACAACATACCAACACCACCCTCTCCACACACACACACACACACACACACACACACACACACACTCTGGATTAGTTCCCCAGATGACATTCAAACTATAAGAATTATCATAAATATAACCCATTTGTTGGAAAGACGCCAATCATTGATTGGTACTTTCCATTTAAGCAAGATTCAGCCTATGAAAAAAAGTTGTGGGGTAATGAAAATTGTGTTAGTAATGCACAGTTGCATTATTGAGCTTTTAGTCGAAAAGGAGAAATGGGAGGAAAAGAAGTACAAGTAAAGGGGTGTCGCTGGAGGAGGAAATCGCGAGGGGAGAGGAAAACTGACTGAGATGGGAAGTGACGGAGATGGGAAGTGTTTGAGTTAGAAACTGAGTGAGTATTTGAAGAGAAGAAAGAAGAGGGGCGGGAGTTACAAGACATGCTGTTTCAAGGCCAAAAAAAACTGTGTTCATTTAAAGCCGGTTGTAGAACTGGTCTTTGTGGCCATCTGTCAATCCAGCACTACTCTAGTGGCTCGACTGGCTTTGATAACATCTTATTCATGGGCACGTTTCTCTGTTCAACCGATTGACTGAACTTTGTTTGCACTTCATATTGATGCTTCATCTAATTTAAAGGTGGATTTATTGTTTTTTATGCTTCCTGTTGTTCTATTTTAAAACCTATATGATGGGAAATGCCTAAAGAATAGTTTTGAAAGTCATGCCCAGAGCCAGCAGGTTGTCCATGCAAGGTGCCTCTGTGGGAACCTCGGTGACAGAACGTCTTAACGTCTGTTAATGTGGACTAATGAGGCCACAGAGTGATGGAACAACAGAAGTAGTCTAAGTGCCATCGTGTCCTTCTGGCACCAAACAAAACCTCAGTTCCACTGAGTGTATACTAAGCATAAAGAGAATTTGACAGGCCATACAACTACATATAAAATCAATATGCAGTCTGGACTGCACAAAAAACGCACTGAAAAGGTTTCAACTTAAGCAAAAAAGTTGCACTCATTTTCTTTCTCACTTTCTTTCTCTGGCCTCATGCTTTGTTAGGGCATTTACCGTGTGTCAATGACACCCACTGAACTGAATGTCTGCGAGTGTTTGTAAGTGTTCCAGGATAAACAAAGGAGGGAAACTGGGAGACAATAACCAAATTAAATTGAGTTCTTCGTCAATTTTGTGATCAGTCAGAGACTGAGCTGTCACACAAACACAGCACAGAAACTGCACACACACGGCCAGTTACACCAAAGACAAATTTGTGTGAATCAAGAAAAGCAAAAATTCACTTAACATTCAGTCTGAACAAACCTTTTTACAACATTTATGACAATTATTCATTATTTCCACTGCAGCCTTTTAACAAGATCTCATATATAATGTAATATATGATAATTAATTTGCCGAACATTGTACTCACTCCTTTAGCTTCATGTTGCAACCCATATAGAGTCACCATTGCTGGAATTAGCAAGAGAAAAGTTTGTTCATTTTCAGGAGGTCAGCTACAGAAAAGGATTGAGTGATTTTGAATGGGTTTTAGGGCTTAAGGCTCCACGCTTCTCAGTTTTGTGTTATTTATAAATAAAAACTGGACGATTCACAGCATTTGATTTTTATTAAAATGTGTACAAATTTATTTTTACTCCCAAATAAAAGTGAAAGAGTTTTTTGTATATAAAAGGTTGTGAAGCACTAAGAGAGAACATGGACTCAAGGATGAAACAACATGTGAATGGAAAAGTTTGAGTAGAGATAAAAATATCCATAAATGAGGAGAAAGAAGAAATAAACTAAAACATTAGTAAAGGAAAGGGAAATAGAATGAAACAGAGATACAGAATAGTCCTTAGAAAATATCCAGAGTAAAAGAATTAAAAGAATGGGAGTTAATGGAGAAATGGATATGAGGGAAGAGAAAATGATATGGATAAGGATGGGTGGGGGAGCAAGGGCAAGGGGAATCGAGGAAAATGCATGTTTTCACAAAGTGTCGTGTTGATGCTTTGATACTGGGAAATTGGGAAGTCAAAGGGAGGAGAAGAGGCGAGAACTGGAAGATTCCAGCTGTTCCTCTTATCTTCCCCTCCCTCCCTCCTTCCATCATTCCCTCGTTTCCTCTCCATGCCTCTGCAGGGAAACAGTGTCAGATGGAACCGGACTCACAGGGAGACGAAGATCTAAGAAAACTGTCGCTCTCAGTTCTGCATCGGAGATGACTTGTGACACGTGCGCGCACACACACACAC